GGAGTAGGGGGAGAGGAGAGAGGGAAGAGGAGGGATACTGACACCAGGAAGCACGGGGATTGCAGGAGGAGGAGGAGGACAGTAGAGGGAGGAGGGAATGATCGACGAGGGACAAGGGAGCAGGAGGGACGAGGTGAAGGAGGAGGAGGAGGAGGAGGAGGAGGAGGAGGAGGATTGTAACCAGAGTCGAACATCCCCAAGCAGCGTGTCTTGAGCCAAGGTGGTCCCTTAGGGTGTCCGCGCGTTCTCCTGCTTCTGACCCGCCTGCGCCTCCGGCGTCGTCGTCTAGCTGCTCGTGACAGGCGTCGTCCTCCTCCCCCGCACCGACGTAAGTATCCTTCTCGCCTTCGCCCTCCCCCTGCCACTACGCCTCTTCCTCCTCCCTCTCCTCCTCCTCCTCCTCCTTCCTCCTCCTCCTCCCCAAAGAATCACGCAATCCCCCTCCTCATCATCATCATTATCCTTCTCCTCCTCCTCCTCGTCATCATCACCACCAGAGTCATCATCATCGTCGTCCTCATAATCGTCATCATAAACACCACGCGCGATTCGTCTTCATCAGCATGGCCATCAGCAACATCATCATCATCAGCATCATCAGCAACAACAACAACAACGACATCATCATCCCCCTGCTATTCCTCGTCCACCCCCTCCTCGTCCTTCCGCGCATGTTCCTCCGCCTCCTCATCCTCATCCTCCTCCTCTTCCTCTTCTCTTGTATATCCTCCTCCTCCTTCCCTGTCCTCCTCCTCCTGCTCCTCCACCTCCTCCTCTTCTTCTCCCCTCCTCCTCCTCCTCCTCCTCCTCCCCCTTCCCCCTCCCCCTCCCCCCCTCCACCTCCCCCTCCCCCTCCTCCTCACTCCTCCCTCTCCTCCTCCTCTCCTCCTCCTCCTCCTCCTCCTCCTCCTCCTCCTCCTCCTCCGCCTCCTTCCTCCTCCTCCTCCCCTCCTCCTCCCTCCTCCTGCCTCCTCCTCCTCCTCCTCCTCCTCCGCTCCTCCTCTCCTCCTCCGCCTCCTCCTCCTCCTCTCCCCTCCTCTCCTCCTCCTCCTCTCCCCTCCCCTCCGCCCTCCTCCTCCTCCTCCTCCTCCTCCTCCTCCTCCTCCTCCTCCTCCTCCTCTCTCTCCTCGTCCTCTTTCCGCTTCCTCCTTGGAATGCTCCTCCTCCCCATTCTCCTCCTGGTCCTCGCATGCCTCCTCCTCCTCCTCCACCTCCGCCTCCTCTTCCTTCTCCGTTTGTTTCTCCTCCACCTCCTGGTCCTCCTCCTCCTCCTCCTCCTTGTCCTCCTCCTCGTCCTCCTCCTCCTCGTCCTCCTCCTTCGCCGCTTATCTCGTCCTTTCTACGCTTCCTCCGCCATGTCAGTGATGCCTTCGTACGCTCGATGCCGCTTCTGGGAGACACCCTCGTCAAGGATGCCCTCAGACAGGTACCGTTTGAGCCTGGTCCCATCTCCCTTCTTCAGTATCCCTCTCGCGCAGCGTATCGGAGCTCCTTCCTCCCCCCTCTCCCCTCCCCCGATCCTGGTTCCTCCCCGCCCGCCGTCTTGTTGACGCATCGCCACGAGCTGCTCCAGCATGGCTCCACCCTGATCGGCCCCTGCAGAGTGCCGAGGAAGCGTGCCCGCGCCTCGGTTGTCAGCTTACCCCCTCCGTCGGGCCAGGGGGCGCCAAGGCCTGTCCCAGGGGGGGGAGGGGGAGGAGGAGGAGGAGGAGGAGGAGGAGGAGGAGGAGGAGGAGGAGGAGGAGGAGGAGGAGGAGGACGATCACGAGGGGGGGGTCCGTAGCCATTGGCGCCCCCAAGGCCAGGTACCCTCGATTCGGCAGCAGAAGTGTGATCAGATGGCTCGTTTGGGTCTGACCCCTCCTCGCTTCCCTCTCCTCCCTCTCGGGGCCCAAGGTTTCGAGGAGATCTCCAGCGAAACGGGCCAGACCACCTCTGGCGCGGCATCTCGGGGCACAGTTGCCCAGGATGTCTCAAGCGAAGCGCGCCAGAGCACCTCGCACACACTTTCTGAGAGCCCAGAGTTGCGAGGATGTCTCGGGCGAAACGAGCTGGACCACCCCGCGCATATCTTCAAGGAGCCTGGAGCTGCGAGGATGTCTCAGGCGAGACGCGCCAGACCACCTCGCGCGCAGCATCTCGCAAAGATGTGTCGGGCGAAATGGGCTGGACCACCTCGTGTGCGACGTCTGGAAGTTCAGAGTTCTGAGGATGTCTCAGGCGGCGCCCAGACCCCTCCCAGAGCACAATTTGACAACAGTCGTCACATGATTCGTTTTGGGTCTGGCTCATCCTCCCCCTCGGAGCCCAGAGTTTCGAGGATGGGAGCTCCGAATTGCGAGGATGCCTCAGGCGAAGCGGGCTGGACCACCTCGCGTGCAACATCTGGGAGCTCAGAGATCCGAGGATGTCTCAGGCGGCGCCCAGTCCCCTCCCAGAGCACAGTTCGACAACAGGAGTGTAGTCAAATGATTCGTTTGGGTCTGACCCCTCCTCCCTCTCGGAGCCCAGAGTTCCGAGGATGTCTCAGGCGAAGCGGGCCAGACAACCTCACCCGCAGCATCTCGGAGCTCCGAATTGCCAGGATATCTCAAACGAAACGAGCCACACACACACACCCTCGCGCACATTTTCGCAGAGCTCAAAATTTCAAGGATGCCTCTGGCGAAACGGGCTGGACCACCTCTCGCGCAGCATCTCGGAGCTGAGGGGTGCGAGGGATATCTCAAGCGAAAGGCGCCAGACCACCTCGCGCGCGGGAGCTCGGAGCTCATAGTTGCGAGGAAGCCTCGAGCGAAACGCGCCAGACCACCTCGCAGGCGGCAGTTCGGAGCGCAGAGTTGCGAGGATGTCTCAGGCGAAGCGGGCCAGACCACCTCGCACGCAGCAGCGCGGAGCTCATAGTTGCGAGGAGGTCTCAAGCGAAACGCGCCAGACCACCTCGCAGGCGGCAGTTCGGAGCGCAGAGTTGCGAGGATGTCTCAGGCGAAGCGGGCCGGACCACCTCGCGCGCGGCTTCCCGGAGCCCAAATTTGCGGGAACATGTCAGGCAAAACGGCACGGACCACCTCTCGCACGGCATCTCGGGGCTTACAGTTTGGAGGATGTCTCAGGCGAAACGGCCGGGACCACCTCGCGCGCGGGAGCCCGGAGCCCAGATGTTCGAGGATGTCTCAGGCGAAACTGTGAGGATGTCTTCGGCGAAGTGGCCCGGACTGCCAGCTTTGCTTGAGGCTGTCTCTACTCACTTTTCTCTCGGCCGAAGCTAGCTTCTATCACAACAGCACCCCGTCCAGCAAGTTGTTCGGCGGAGGAAAAAGAAGCAGGCTCCTTCTCCTCCTCCTGCTCCTCCTGCTCCTCCTTCTCCTCCTCCTGCTCCTCCTGCTCCTCCCCGTCCAGCAAGCTGTTCGGGGGAGGCAAAAAGCAGGCTCCTCCTCCTCCTCCTCTTCGTCCTCCTCCTCCTCCTCCTCCTCCTCCTCTTCGTCCTCCTCCTCCTCGCCGTCCTGATCCTTATCCTCCTCCTCCTTCTTCTCCTCCTCCTCCTCCTCCTCCTTCTTCTCCTCCTCATCCTCCTCCTCCTCCTCCTCCCCCTTCCCCTCCCCTCCTCCCTCCTCCTCCTCCTTCCTCCTCTCTCTTCTTCCTCCTCCTCCTCCTCCTCCTCCTTCTCCTCCTCCTTCTCCTTCTCCTCCTCCTCCTCCTCCTCCTCCTCTTCTCCTCCTCCTCCTCCTCTCCTCCTCCTCTTCGTCCTCCTTCTCTTCGGCCTCCTCCTCCTCCTCCTCCTCCTCCTCCTCCTCTTCGTCGTCCTCCTCCTCCTCCTCCTCCTCCTCCTCCTCCTCTTCCTCCTCCTCCTCCTCGTGGAGCCCTGTTGGGTAATTTTTATTTTTTGTCGAAAATCCCCCTGTAGGGGGACAGGCCCGACTTCACCCTGGCGGCGCCGCTCGTCAGGACACGGCCGTCCTGCGAATGACACCATCCTCTGTCGACCCTCGCGGGCGCGGGTGGCGACGAGCGTCTCGATGATCGCCCTCACCCGCGGCATCGCTCGTCAAATCACTGCACTCGTGCGGTTGGCGACGTCGTCCTCCTCGATCCTCGCCCCGCGGTGCAGACGGCGAGGGCGGCCAGGAGCCTCTCGACGTCCTCCCCCGGTGGTGTCGCTCGTCGAGCACGCGCTGGCCAGGAGGTCGACTGCCATCTGCTCGAGCAACCAGCGCAACCCAAGACCCAGACCCCGTCGCGTTGTGAAAAAATCACGACGGGAAGTTTTTCACTATTTTCGGCCTCTGGGGGCCCTCACAGGGCCTCGGGACCGTCAAAAAACGGCTTGGGATGAAGAACCGGTCCCAGGGAAGGGGTTTAGACCTCTGGGGGTCGACTTTGTGAAAAAATCACTACGTCGGGGGCCTGGGGATGCAGGGCCTCCTGCCGAGAGGCGACCTGATGCTGTGGTTTGTCAGCCCCGCCGGCCCCAAGGTTCGCAACGCAGGCCAGGCCCGTGAGGTCGGCATCCGAAGCATCAGCGGCCGCTTCTCGTCTCACGAAGCCTCCGCGAGGAACCCGTGGAAAGGTGCCACCACTCAAGAGCATGGGCCAAAACGACATCGGTGGAGTCCGCTGGACCCCCTGTCGGGCCTCCAGGCTGTGAAGATCACGTTGCATTGGGTGGTGATATGGGAGATCAAATGCAGTAGTTGCACACGCCCCTCAAAGTGTACGTCTCCCCCTGGGGCCCAGAAGGCGCCTCAAGCAGCGCCCCAAGGGTGGGGCGGCGGTGCTACGATCTCTGGCCTCATCCGCGCTCTCAGGGCCACGGTCCCTCGCAAATTACAGTTGGTCCGCGCTGTCAGGGCCACGATCCCTCGCAAATTACACTTTGTCCACGCTCTCAGGGCTACGATCCCTCGTAAATTACACTTTGTCCACGCTCTCAGGGCTACGATGCCTCTAAACTACCCTAGGCCCGCGCTTCCCAGGGCCACGACACTTGTAAATTACCCTGAGTCCGCGCTCTCAGGGCCACGACCCGTCCAAACTGACGCTGGCTGCGCGCTTCGCAGATTACGTTGGATCCTCGCTCCCAAGCGCGAATCTCTTCTCACAATTTTCAAAATGGTCCCGAGTGGCTTGTGCGTGACTGAGGACCCCGCTAAAGGGCCAAGTACTACCCCCAGAGCGCCTTCAGAAGATTCGAAGAAGCTCCAGTACACTCCAGAAAAAGAAGGCCCATACCTTGGCCTGAGAGGGCCAAACATAAGCCACTGAAGACCCAGTGGATTCTAGAGGGCTCACCTGGGGAGGCAAAGGGGGTTTACTAGGAGAGGGGGTGCCTTTGGCGACAAAGAGGAAAAGGAACACACTTAGTGCGTAGGAAGATGACGACGACGAGAATGGCGACAAGGGGTACTTCGATGCATGGGGGTAATGGCCGAAGGCCTTCAGGTAACAGTGTTTGTTCGTGTGATGGCGGTTTGAGCACATCTTCCTCCTCCTCCTCCTCCTACTCCTAGGAAGTGAAGAGGCTGAAGGAGTGCCAGACGCTAAAGACAGCACCCAGACCATGCTGGATGGCACCGAGACCTTCGCGGAGAAGTTCGGCTACCCCAAGTCGGAGGAGACGACGGCGGCCAGCTCAAGCGGCCACCAGTGAGTGCACCCAATGGAGCCTGCAGATTGCCAAGAGGAAGCATTAGCGAGGTTCCTCGGAGTGCTGATCTAGGCAAGGAGCGAGCTGGCCATGCCCACAGACAGTCAGGAGGAGCACTCGCGAGGTTTCTCGGAGCGCAACTCAGGACAGACATTTTGGGCACAACAGTGCGCCTGCACCGACATCGCAATGGGAAATATGTTTGGAGCACCATCCGGTACACAACTGCCGGGTGTGGAGGGAGAAAGCATGATCATCAAGATGCCCACCGGTGTGCTCCTCATCGGCCCTGCCTATGACCGTGACTTCCAGTATGCTCTACCGCACACACTCCGAGGGAGAGCCGTGGGCTACCTCACAGGGTGCCAGGGTACAGATGTGACAGCACATGGAGCATCTCTCGGAACGACCGAGGAGTGAGCTGAGTGGGAGAGGGGAGCACGGAGTGCAAACTGTAGAGGTAGGAGCCCCCCCAGCAACAGTTCGGGGACTCGGGCCTTCCGTCTCTCCCCCCACTCCTCCTTTTGGAGGTCGTGTCGTCGTCTCCTCCCCCCTTGGCTTGGGCGCCCTGCTAAGCCCGCGCGTCCCCTCCCCTAGGGCACGCCGAAGGGCCAGCAGCTGCTCCCCCCGCACTGGCCCGATGGGACTCGTGATGTGTAAGGTAGCTAGCCTCTCTTACGGGTCCACCTCGGAGCTCGGTCCTTGAGCTACGGGGTATGCCCCCTGCCAGCCCTAATGAGAAAGCAGGGCTGTAACAAATCGCAGGGGATTTTGGCAATAGCACGTAGATCGCCCGAGTAGGTGCTCTGACGTTACCCCCTTTATGTGGATGTCCTTGTCCTTGTCCTCTTACTCCTCCTCCTTCTCCTCCTCCTCCTCCTCATCATCATCATCATCACCAACATCATCCACAACATCAACAACAGCATCACTAGCAGCATCATTAGCATCATCAGCACCAGCATCATCATGCTCATCATGCTCATCATGAGCATCATCATCATCATCATCATCATCATCATCATCATCATCATCATCATCATCATCATCATCAGCATCATCATCATCATCATCATCATCATCATCATCATCATCATCATCATCATCATCATCATCATCATAATCATCATCAGATCATCATCATCATCATCATCATCATAATCATCATCATCAACACCGTCATCCCAGCATCATCATCATCATCATCATCATAATCATCATCATCATCACCACCGTCATCACCAGCATCATCATCATCGTCATCACCATCACCGTCAACATCATCATCATCATCATCATCATCATCATCATCATCATCATCACCAGCATCGTCATCATCATCGTCATCAGCAGCAGCATCATCATAACATCGTGCTATTGCTCCTGCTCCTGCTCATGCTCCTCCTTCTCCTCCGTCTTCTCATGCTGCTCCTCCTCCTCCCTCCTCCTCCTCCTCCTCCTCCTCCTGCTCCTTCACCTCTCTGCCCCAATCCTCCCCCCTAATTACTCGACCTCCCATTTCTCCCCCCCTCCTCCCCACCCTCCTCCATCTCCTCCTCATCCTCCTCTTCTTATTCCTCTTCCTCTTCCTCTTATCATTATTACTACTATTACGATTGTTAATATTATTATCATTAGCATTGTTGTTTTAATACTTTCAATTGTATTACAAGCATCGTCATCATCATCAGCAGCATCATCATCATCATCATCAGCATCATCATCATCATCATCATCATCATCATCATCATCATCATCATCATCATCATCATCATCATCACCAGCAGCATCGTCATCGTCATCGTCATCATCATCATCGTCATCATCATCATCAGCATCATCATCATTATCATTGGTAGGATTAGTGTTATCATTAGTATTACAATTATTATTCGTATTCATCCTTCTCCTCCTCCTACTCCTCATCCTTCTCTTCAGCTTCCTCTTCAACTTCCTCCTCCTCCTCCTCTTCTTCCCTCTCGTCCTCGTCCTCGCCCTCGTCCTCGTCTCCCCCTCCCCCTCCTCCTCCTCCTCCTCCTCCTCCTCCTCCTCCTCCTCCTCCTCCTCCTCCTCCTCCTCCTCCTCCTCCTCCTCCCACTCCGACGACGACGACGACGACGACGACGACGACGACGACGACGACGATGACCACCACCACCACGGCGGCGGCGAGCGCAACGACCACTATTGCGGCACGACGGCGGCGGCGACATGCCGGCGGCCGCGCGCGGGAGGCTCGGCGGGGCGGCCGAGGGGGTGGCGGGAGGGGGCGGAACGGCAGCGGCCGCCGCGGCTAGGCCGTGGGAGTCCTGAGGGGGGGACGAGGAGGGGGAGGGGGATCGAGGAGGGGGGGAGGGGAGTGGCGAGGGAGGGGGGGAGGGGGGGAGGGAGGAGGGAGGGAGGGGGGAGGGCAGGAGGAGGAGGAACGAGGGAGGACGAGGGAGCGCGAGGAGGAGGGAGGGAGGGGGCGAGGGAGGACGAGGAGGGAGGGAGGGAGGGAGGGCAGGGACGAGGGTCAGGGATGGGCATCGAGGAGGAGCATTGAGATTTGACCAGGCTGTCTGTCTGTCTGTCTGGACGAAGAGGAGGATGAGGAGGAGGAGGAGGAGGAGGAGGAGGAGGAGGAGGATCAGGGAGGAGGAGGAGGAGGAGGAGGAGGATCGGGGAGGAGGATCGGGGATGAAGATCGAGGATAAGGATCGAGGAGGATCGAGAATCGAGGATCGGGGATGAGGAGCGAGGATGAGGCACTAGGATGACGATCGAGGCTGAGGATCGAGGACGAGGATCGAGGATGGCAGAACGAGGGAGGGGGAGTGCGAGGATCGAGCAGGGGAAAAGGATGAGGGAGGATCGGGGAAGGAGGAAAATGGAGGATGGAAGGGTGAGAGCAGCAAATCACAGGGCTATCGGACCAAATGTTTTCAATTGCTGCGCGACTGAAACTGCTTGGCCCTACATAGCTTCACAAACATATATTCTACGTGAAAGGCCCCAGCGGAAGAATGAATATCCAGAGGGCTTTTCATGAGACCGCTCATCAAGATGGGGGGAAGAAGGAGGTGGACGAAAACGGAAGATATAGCTTTGAATCACATTTGGAATGCTGCCTTGCTTGTGTGCTCCATCATAATTCCCCAATCAGAGCTTGACTCTGTAGGGTTCCTAGCGGATTTAAGGGTAGGTGAGGTTTGCCGCCGATTCGGTGGCCGGGCCCGTGTGCCCGGGTGCCCGGGTGCCCGGGTGCCCGGGTTCGCCGCCGATTCGGTGGCCGCCCGGGTTCGCCGCCGATTCGGTGGCCGGGCCCCGTTGCCCGGATGCCTGGGTGCCCGGGTGCCCGGGTGACGGCCGGCCCGGGTGCATGGTGCCCGGGTGGGTGCCCGGGTGCCGGGTGCCGGGGGCCTGGGTGCCCGGTGCCCTGTAGCCCTATAGCCTTATAGCCCTATATCCCAATCGCACTACAGCCCTATAGCCCTAACCCATATAGCCATATAGCCCATATAGCGCCCAAGAGCCCATATAGCCCTGTAGCCCTATAGCCCTACAGCCCTAAAAAGGTTATGATTGGGTTTTTCTCTGGTATCATATAACTACTACGTTCCACGGGATGCTACAAATGCCTCGCGAGGCCTGCAAGGACGTCTCGAGGCCTCCGCGACCTCGATGTACCTCCGAAAAGGAAAGAGGGGGGAGAATGGCGAATGACGTGGAAGCCCAATGTTGCCCAATGGCCCATGCAATCCCATAGACACAATAAACGGGTATGTACTGTGTGCCCAGGTGGCAGAGCGCATCCAGGGCTGAGAAGAAGACGTGCTCCTGGCGGGGTGGGAGGAGGAGGAGGAGGAGGAGGAGGAGAGGAGGGAGGGAGGAGGAGGGGAGGATGAGGAGGAAGCGGAAGGGGAGGATAAGGACATGCAATCGGAGTGAAGGGGTGGGGGGAGGTCTCATCTTCTTTCTCCTCCTCCTTTGCTCCTTCCTGTCCCGCCCTTCCCTCCCCACCCCTCCCTCCCCTCCCTCCCTCCCTCCCCCTAATCCGTCCCTCCCGCCCCTCCCCCCCTCCTCTCCCCCGCCCCCGCCCTTCCACTCCCCCTCCTCCTTGCCCCTCCCTCCCCCCCCCCCCCCTCCCTCCTCCGCTCCCCTCCCCTCCCTCCCCCCCCTCCCCCCCCCTCCCCTCCCCTCGCCTCCCCCCCCTTCCCCCCCCCCCCTCCCTCCTCCTCCTCCCCCCCTCCCCCTCCCCCCCCTCCCCGCCCCCCTCCCGCCCGAGCCGGCGGGCCCCTCTGCCTCCCCCCTGCTGCCCCCCCCCCCCGCCGTCCGCGGCGCTCCCGGGAGCCCCCGAGCCCCCACGCCCGGCAC